AGGGAGGTGGGGGGGGGCAGCGGGCATGGGGAGGCACTTTTCCTCTGCCCGGCAGCTCTGTGGGACCCCAGTCGGAGCCGGCCCGAGGAGGAGGAGGATCCTAGGACCCAGGTGAGCGAGCCCCGGGAATGCTGCTGCGCATGTGCGGGAGTTGCCTCACCCGTTCGTATCTAGGGATCCGACGTAAGTCGGATCCACGTAAGTCGGGGACTGCCTGTACTTCAGATTATGGAAAACACTTTCAAAAGTGACTTTGGCCCTTATTTTAAAAGTATTTAAAATGTAAATAGGAGACTTTTCAAAAGGGTTTAAGCCCCTAATTCCAATTGAATTCAATGAAGATAGGCATCTAAGATCTTTTTAAAATCCTACTAGGTATCTATCAGCATCTTTAGATGCCTAAATCCCTTTACAGTATGGCCCCAAATTCGCTCTTGAAAATGGTTCCTAAGCCACTTAGGTATATTTCGAAAATACTTTCCTATCTCACCATTGCACCTTTTAACATCATTATAATTGCAAGCAGGGTCTGAACCACTGCTTCCAATGCAGCCAGCTGACAGGGGAAAGGAGCCATGGGTGTGGTTATGCTCGCTCACAGATGTTTAGCTCTGCAAGATAATCAGCTGTTGATATGTAAACACAGTTTATGCTGGAATGGGAAAGAAATCCTGGGTATGGTTATGTAAATCCAGTTCAGCCAGTGCTATAGGCCTGATGGATGGTCAGTTGTTAGAATGGAATGTTGTCTATTGTAATTAATTTGGCTGTTGTGGGGTCACAAACTATGTTAAACCTAAATGCAGGAATTGTAAAACGTGACACTGGTGCTTGCAGGAGAGACATAGTCATTGTAAAGAGTCTTGGATGGACAAGCTTCCCTCTTCCAGACTCAAGTGGATTGGATTGGGGGGGAAGGAACTTGAACTAGCAGGCTACATGCCCTCTAGGTGTGAGCTGTAAGACTGGTTCACCCCCTCCGCTCCCCCATTCTAAGGATAGACCTAAAACAGGCGCCATACAGAGTCTCTTTATTATTTTGAAATACTATTCCAGTAGAAGCTGCAACCTATTTGGCCAGCCTAGGTGGTGGCCAAGAGCTGACATCGCTGTGAAACTGATAAAGAGCCGAAATCACTAGGTTTGGCCCAGAGCCAGACCCGTTGCAGAAGCAGCAGCAGGAGGGAGCAGTGGCAGGTGGCCAGCGGGGCAACTGCTGTGAGCGGCTGGCAGGTGGCCGGCTGCAGCAGCAGTGAGTGGCAAACAGAGTGGGTGAGAAGTCTCCTATGCTGCCCCCCAAGGGTGGGAAGTGAGCTCTGAAAATCACCCTTGATCTCTGGTCTGCCCTGATCAAGGGCAGCAACTGTGAATGGGGTATGGAGAAAGGTTGGGCATGTGAATGGGACACTTACATTGCTGGACTTGTGAGCCTGAGAGGCAAAGGACATTGCTCAACCCATATGAGCTGGGACATTCACTTATGGGTTGGTTATGAACTCTGTTGGTGGTGTTTTCCCAAGCTAATGCCACGTTATTTTTCTCCTTTCATTAAAAATTTATTTCGGAGGCACCCAAGGGTGTATGTGAATTTCGTAGGCTACTGGGTGGGGGTGGAACTGGTGAGCCAGTTCTACGTGAGATGGATGAAAAGGAAACCCTAGATATTGAACCTGGACCTAGCTGCTGCCGGCACTACCTTGCAGAAGAGTTACATAAGATAAATACAAATCTCCACACTAAGAAGGGAAACTGTGTTAAAGCGCGGCTAGTAACAACAGTGTTAAAATTACTTCTCTCTGATACTGGCTAGCATGATTTGGACATGCATTTGAATACATGAAAGCTTGTTATGAACCAGAAAGACATTGGGTTTGAACTCTCTACAACACTG